GGCAGGCAATCGGCCGGAGGTGATAGAATTACTCCTGTTGACTTCTCGGGGACGCATGCGAGCTCGCACCATCTCCCCGCTTGCACTAGCTCGGCACCGCGTCCCCACCGAGACGAGCTTGGTTCCCTGGAAGCTGCCAACTAGTGGTGCTTTGAGGTTCATGTTGGCCAAGATTTGGATGCAGCCTAGCTAATCAAACGAGTCAATTTGGTCCCACACAGCCTGCCTGGGGATGTGAGCTACCAAACACGCCCTAGATGGGAGCTCCTATTTATCGCTCTATGCAGCAAATTGGCGGGCAAACGCATAGGCCCCTCCCCTCGACTGGGCCGACCCATGTAGCAACAATAGTGACTAATGTTTTCGAAAGAAAAAACAATAGCAACCAATGAACCGGCTACTGTAGCGGCCCAAGTTATTGTAGCTACATTTTTTTTCTAGTATATGTTTATTCCTTTGGTTCTCTAAAAACAATCATTGAGACAATTATTTTAAAATGTTTGGACATATTTTGGAATTTTTACAAAAATTGTGAACATTATCTAGAAAGTTTATGTTTTTTTGAAAACGTGAACATTTTTCAAAATGTTTTCGATTTTTTTGAATAACACAAACTTTTTTAGAAAACACGGTTTCTAAACATGAGCATTTTCTAAAAACATAAACAATTTTTGAAAATTGTGAACAATTATTTAAATTTTAAGAACTTTAGAAAACACAAATATTTTCTAAAATTTTGTATTTTAAAACATTTCTTTGTAAAACGTTGAACTTTTTTTGAAATTTCACACAATTTTTTGAAATTACGAATGAAAATCCAAACATTTTAAAAAATTCTACTTAGTTTTTTGAAAATTTGAAGAACTTCCGAAAACACAAATCTTTTTGAAATTACACACGTTTGTTTTAAAATATGAGCATTTTTTTTGGAGACAGGAATATCTTTTGAAAATTCTAAACAAATTTGAAAAAGGATAAAAACAAATGAAAACCCATAAAGACAATAACAGGAAAAGAGAAAATGAGAAAAGAGTGAACAAGAACCTTCTTGAAGATTCTAAAACCGGATCCATGTAGGTTACATGATGACTCCTGATTGAGCCAGCCCGTGTACCCTCGTTCACTTGCTTTGCCTGTGTGATTGGTCGGCAATTTGCCGCAAGGAGCAGGAAATAGGGATTGTCATCCCGGGCGTGGCTGCCTATAGCTCGCTTGTAGCTAGTTGGAAGGACGGATTGCCTACAGCGCCTAAAAAAAGTATGTGCTATTTTTCCTCTCTTTCAATTTTTTTTTGTTTTTATATTATGAAAAATTATAAATACAAATATTTCCCAAAAATTAATTATGTCCATTGTGAACTTGAAAAAACATAGTGGATTTTTTGTAACCATTACTGTAAAGAAAAATTCACAACATTTAAAATATCTTCATGCGTTTCAAAAACTTTATGTGATATTTTTATTTTTTTTAAAAAATGTTAAGAATTCCAACTGGCTGTGGCGAGCGCTCTCCCACTGTTAGTGGCTTAGCTTCAGGGCTCGACTCCTTGATGGAATAAAGATAGAGCTATTAACCCATACGCCCTCTTGTTTAAGGTTTCATAGTTTAGGCAACTACAATTCCTGTTTGTATTAGAATGCATAAAATGACTGTGTAATTCAAATTATTTTTTTGCGTAATTGTAAAATACCATGTTTCAGATGTATATGAAGAACTTACAATGTTTATGGAAAAATAGACATCAAAGCATGTATTTGAAAGAAAATGGTAATCATGTATTTGAAAGAAAATGGTAATCATGTACATGTATTTGAACTAACATACTACGTACCCTATTAGGCAGTGAATGGCAAAGAAAAGTGAGAACAATAATGTGTTCTCATTTTTTTCATGATTATTTCAGTAGACTAATAATCTCTTAAACTATCTAATTTTTCCCCTTACCATGCCAATAGTCATCTAGTGTGCTTCAACTTGGGTTTCTACCTAAACACTATAGTGGCTAATCTAAGTAATGGCATGTATAGAGATCAAAAGTAATGCAAATAGAGAAACAAACTTCTACATGTAAACAATAATCACTCTTAAAAAGTTGTTGCTTTGGAACATATATACCATTGTTCTTTGCTTCAGCATCACACATGACCAAAGACAACCGATGCCATGGGGTAACAGCACCAAGGCTTACACAGACCATGTACAGTTACTGCAGCACACACAGACATACACAACCTTTATGTTGTCGCCGGATCAAAGGAGTG